GCTGAAGTCAGATACTTAATTGACTAAGCCACCCAGGCACCCCTACATGGTGTCTGTCTTTGTTGTTGATATCAGCATAGTGCTGGCCTCATGGAATGAATTTGGAAGTTTTCCTTCCTCTTTTTTTTTTTGGAATAGTTTGAGAAGGATAGGTATTTCTCTAAATGTTTGGTAGAATTCACCTGTGAATCCATCTGGTCCTAGAATTTTGTTTGTTGGGAATTTTTTGTTTGTTTTTTTTTTTTTTAATTCAATGTCATTACCAGTAATTGGTCTGTTGGTCTGTTCAAGTTTTTCTGTCTCTGATTCAGATTTATAAGATTACAGGTTTCTAGGAATTTATCCATTTCTTTTAAGTTTTCTAATTTGTTGGAATATAATTTTTCATAATCTTATAATCCTTTGTATTTCTCTGGTGCCCATTTAAAAATTTTTTTTTGGTTTTTAGCCTTTTTAAAAAAAATTTTAACTTTACATCCAAATTAGCATATAGTGCAACAATGATTTCTGGAGTAGATTCCTTAATTCCCCTTACCCATTTAGCCAATCCCCCCCACAACTCCTCCAGTAACCCTCTGTTTCTTCTCCATATTTAAGAGTCTCTTCTGTTTTGTCCCCCTCCCTGTTTTTATATTATTTTTGTTTCCCTTCCCTTATGTTCATCTGTTCTGTCTCTTAAAGTCCTCATATGAGTGAAGTCATATGATATTTGTCTTTCTCTAATTTTGCTTAGCATAATATCCTCTAGTTCTATCCACGTAGTTGCAAATGGCAAGATTTCATTCTTTTTGAATGCTGAGTAATACTCCATTATGTATGGGTGTGTGTGTGTATGTATAGACATGTATATACATACACACACACACACTCTCACCACATCTTCTTTATCCATTCATCGATGGACATTTGGCCTCTTTCCATACTTTGGCTATTGTTGATAGTGCTGCTATAAACATTGGGGTGCATGTGCCCCTAAATTTTTTTTAAAGTAGGCTCCATGTGCAATGTAGGGCTTGAACTCACAACCTTAAGATCAAGAGTCATATGCTTTACAGGCTGAACCAGCCAAGCATCCTAGTGGTTTTAGTTCTTATTTATTCCTTCTCATTTTTGATTTTGAGTTCTTTTTTTTTCCTTTAAAGTTTATTTATTTTGAGGGCGAGAGAGAGTGCAAGCAGGGGAGGGGGGCAGAGAGAGAGGGAGAGATAGAATCCCAATGTGGGGCTTGAACTCACAAACCAAGAAATCATGACCTGAGCTGAAATCAAGTGTCAGATGCTCAATGGACTGAGCTACCCAGGTGTCCCAGAGGCCTCTTTTTTTGTTCTTTTTGTTTTTAATGAATCTGGCAAAAGGCTTATAAATCTTGTTTATCTTTTCAAAAGATTAGCTCTTCATTTTATGTATCTTTTATTTTTTAGTCTTTCATATTTCTGCTCTCATCTTTCCTTTTACTGTCTTTGGGTTTCATTCTTTTTCTAGCTCTTTTAGGGTGTAAGCTTAGATTGTTTGAGATTTTTCTTGTTTCTTTAGGTAGGCCTGTATTGCTATAAATTTCCCTCTTAGAGTTACTTTTGCTGCATCCCAAAGATTTTGGATCATTTTGTTTTCATTTGTCTCCATGCTTTTTAAAATTTCTCCTTTGATTTCTTGGTCAACCCAGTCATTGTTTAGTAGCTTATGTTTAGCTTCCCTGTATTCGTTTCTTCTTTGTCTTGTTTTTGTGATTGGTTTCAAGTTTCATACTGTTGTGGTCAAAAAGATGCTTCATATGATTTCAGTCTTTTTAAATTTTATTTTGAGAGAGCGTGTGCACACACATGAGTGAGTGGGGGAGGGGCAGAGAGAGAGAGGGGGAGAGAGAATGCCCGAGTAGGCTTCCTGCTCAGTGTGGAGTCCATGTGGGGCTCGATCTCACAACTGCAAGATCATGACCTGAGCTGCTCTTTAGAGTTGGACGCTTAACCTACTGAGCCACCCAGGTGCCCTGATTTCAGTTGCCTTAAACTGTATTGAGATTTGTTTTGTGGCCTAACATAAGATCTATTCTGGAGAATGTTCTATGTGTACTTGAAAAGGATGTGTATTCTTCTGTTTTGGGATGGAATGTTCTGTGTGTATAGGTTATGTTCAACTGGTCTAATGTTTTATTCAGAATCACTGTTTCCTTGTTTTCTGCTGGGTGATCTGTTGATGTAATTGGGGTGTTAAAGCCCTCTACTATTATACTCTGTCAGTTTTTCCCTTTATGACAATTGCTTTATGTATTTAGGTGTTCCTGTGTTGGGTGCATAGCTCTTTATAAATGTTATATCCTTTTGTTGGATTGATCCCTTTATCGTGATATAGTGCCCTTCTTTGTTTCTTGCTACAGTGTTTGTTTTACAGTATTTTGTGTAAGTATTGCCACTGCAGCTTTTTTTTTTTTTTTTGGCCTTATTTTGTATGTTAAATGTTTTTCCACCCCTTTATTTTCAGTGTATGTGTGTTTAGGTCTGAAGTGAGTCTCTTGTAGGCAGCATATAGATGTTTTGTGTGTGTGTGTGTGTGTGTGTGTGTGTGTGTGTGTGTGTTATTGATTCAGTCACCCAGTGTCTTTTGTTCTTTTTTTAATGTTTATTTATTTTTAAGACCGAGAGAGAGACAGAGCACTAGCAGGGGAATGTCAGAGAAAGAGAGAAGCACAGAATCTGAAGCAGGCTCCAGGCTCCGAGCTGTCAGTGCAGAGACTGATGCAGGGCTCAAACTCACGAACTGTGTGATCGTGACCTGAGTCGAAGTCGGGACGCTTAACTGATTGAACCACCCAGGCGCCCCCTCTTTTTTTCTTTAAGTAAACTCTGCACCTGGCATGGGAGTTGAACTTACAACCTTGAGATCAAGCATTACATGCTCTACCAACTAAGCCAGCCAAGCCTCCTTACCCTGTGTCTTTTGATTGGAGGATTTAGTCCATCAAGAGCATTTTTCATTAGAATATTTTAAAAATGCTATGCTTCCAGTGCTGTTAAACAGAACATTTATTGAGTGCTTCCACTGAGTTTGAGATTCTCTGTTTTGCATAGGTGGACAGGGTGGTCAAGGGTCTGCTTTTTGGTCTTTAGCTCTATCTTCCCTACTTTCACCACTGACACCATCCCTGCCCTGCCAGTCATTGCTGACTCAGTTGTGTAGAGCAGAGAAAACCCACAACACTGACCTTGGTGAAATGCAGAGTGTACCATGGTCTGAGTGCCTGTCTTGCAGAATAAAATGCAGGGCCTGTTGGGATACCTACAAAAAAATGTAGATGCTGTTTCCACTTGTCTCTCAGGGAGAATGAGATGATCAGAGGTCTCTGCTCTAAGTAAGTGGAGAAATATTCCTGCAAATTATTCACAGCTTCGTGGATACTTGATGGGTATCTAAGCACCTACTAGGTCTCAGTGACTGGTGCTGGTGTTCAGAGTAGTCCTCATCCACATGAGTGGGGCTCAGCAGTGCCTCGACAGTGTCATTCGTGGTAAATTACAGGAGAGTCAACTTACCTCCGTAGATGAGAGGAGACAATTGTTGTAAGCATTTGAAAATGTGCTAGCTTCCTACCTTCTCTCTGTTGGAAATGTAACTGTTACAGATATGCAACAAATGTGTCTATTAGCAACCTGTGATGTGGAACTGTTAGGGATGACTGGGTTAAAATATGGAAACTTCCAGTTAAAATTGTGATGCTCTAAATTGAATGCTTTATTCAGTGTATCTGCATCTAGGTTACCTAGATTACCTAGATTATGTATCCTCTTTAAACATGCTGACATTCACCTCCTCTTTTCAAATGATTGAATTATTTTTTGATTTAGGGTCTTATTTTATTCTTCTCAATACCTGGCAAAGAATAACCCTAATGGTAGTAACCTCTTATTGAATTATATTCTACTATTTCAGAACTACTAATTCGGTGGGAATGTATCATTACTCTCCTAGAACAAATGAACAGTGGGGAGAGGATCCCAGAGATCACACTTGTGATTGCTTAAGAGAAGAGTTCAGTTTTCAGAACTCCTTGAAAATGTCTTTTTATCTGCCAGTAATTACTTGGGGTTATTTGAGACAGGACCTCTCTTATCTTTGCTTTGCACAGTTTAGTTGGGGTAACTATGTGTAATGTCAAATTATGAAGTTGCATTCCTTAAATATTTAATGTAAGACTTCAGTTTTGATGAAGCTTTAAAAACTTCATCCGATGGTTATGTTTCCTGACACAAGCAGGGAATGTCTGAGCTACAGTGGCCTCTTAGGCCCCAGGAAGATGGAAGTCTTGCGGCATTTCACAAATGCTGACCCAGTCCGGGGTCTGGGATATCACAGGGTGGTTATAGTTCATTATTTCCCTTATGTTCAGAATTTTTATTGAAGTCATCTGACGCAGTTTTGATCTTGCTGTTTTCTAATGTCTTACAGTATAAAAGTGCAAAAATATGTGATTTGTACTGAGCAGAGTCAAAGTTTAGCTCTTTAGCGATTGGCCAGACTCTTTGTCGCCTTTACCTATTGCTTCTTCCTCTGTTTTTCTGATAATCATCAGTACGGCTGGGCATTAGGCAAAGGGGAGTGATTAGCTCCTGCCAGACTTTCCTTCCCTTCCTTTTATATGGTTGCATGTACACAGAGACTAAGTGCTATTTATTAACCACTTGCTCAGCAGCCGTTACGTTAAGTCTTTTCATCCATTTTTATTTAATCCTCGTGCTAACTGATTGAGGAACCAGGGCTCAGAATTGGTATTGCTTGTCTGGGATGTCACAGCAGAGCCAGGCCTCAAGCCCAGGTCCCTCTGACCCCAAGCTGACACCCGAGAACACACTCCACTCTTTTGCATCCTCTGGTTTTGACTGTTGAACACACATCAGTCTCCTACCGAGGGTGAGCTCTTTGAGGGCTGTAGCTGGGTGCCGGGCACATTGGGGACCCTGTGTGGTTTATTGGACTGGGCTCGAAGGTTTGGGGGAGGAAGAAGTCGAATGAACACAAGCGTAAGTAAGCCCTGGGGTAGGCTGCTCCCCTCTCGTTTCTGTGGGTATTTGAGGCTGCACTCTAACACACGTAGACTCGTGCTGGAGATTTCTGTCCTGGTTGTAGGGGGCACGGCATGTGTACTGACCGGGCAGCCCTTTGACACCGTGAAAGTGAAGATGCAGACGTTCCCCGACCTGTACAGGGGCCTCACCGACTGCTGCCTGAAAACCTACTCCCAAGTGGGCTTCCGCGGCTTCTACAAGGGGACCAGCCCAGCGCTGATTGCCAACATCGCCGAGAACTCTGTCCTCTTCATGTGCTACGGCTTCTGCCAACAGGTGGTGCGGAAAGTGGTTGGATTGGAAAAGCAGGCCAAGCTAAGGTGAGTCGTGGGCACTAATACCTGCTCAGTTTGTTTCAAAAGACAACATTGTTGGGGGCGCCCGGTGGCTCAGTCGGTTGAGCGTCCGACTTCGGCTCAGGTCATGATCTCACGGTTCGTGGGTTCAAGCCCCACGTCGGGCTCTGTTCTGACAGCTCAGAGCCTGGAGCCTGCTTCGGATTCTGTGTCTCCCTCTCTCTCTGCCCCTCCCCTGCTAATGCTCTGTCTCTCTCTTTCTCACTGTCTCTAAAATAAACATTAAAAAAAACTCTTAAAGACAACGTTGTTGTATAGTCAAGATTTTTGTGATACCTTATGGGAAGGATGTTTCCTTTTTTAAAATAACCCACTTTCTCTCTGGTTATGGAGGAATACGTTGTCATCCTATAAAACTTGCAAACCACGAATTCTGCAGGACGAGGATTGCCTGTAATGTACCACGGAGAAGGAGACACCCTTATGTATTGGTGTCCTTCACGAAGATGCTTTTCAGACGCTGCAGGTGGTACTACTTCTCTTGTGGGCACAGGTGCTGGACCAGAGCCACAGATGCAGCCTGGGAGCCACGTTTGGGATTCCACTTCATCGGCAAAATGCGGAAGATTGGAAGAAGCTGCCTGAGCCAGTCTGAGAGACACTTGGAATTTTAGGAAGAGTCGGCAGCATCTCAGAAGATGGAGATGAACCTGTTTGGCCATGTCTGCCCCAAACGTCAGACTCTGCCATGTGCTTGGCCATCCCTTGGATATTTACGTACACAGCAACTAGGAAGAACTCGGGAAACACTGGGATGTGTAGCCAACCCTTTTCTGAACGTTGAATTTTTAAAAATCACTTAAATTGTATCAGCTGCATGGTTCTTTTTTAAAAATTTTTTTTTTCAACGGTTTTATTTATTTTTGGGACAGAGAGAGACAGAGCATGAACGGGGGCGGGGCAGAGAGAGAGGGAGACACAGAATCGGAAACAGGCTCCAGGCTCCGAGCCATCAGCCCAGAGCCTGATGCGGGGCTCGAACTCACGGACCGTGAGATCGTGACCTGGCTGAAGTCGGACGCTTAACCGACTGCGCCACCCAGGCGCCCCTCAGCTGCATGGTTCTTACGGGTTGTATTGGTAGGAATTGGAAACCCTATTGCAACTCGGGTCCCACTTGACTAAAAGTAGGTCCCTTTTGTCCAGTAGTTCCCTGGAGGTGCCTAGTGGTCTTTAAGACGTGCCCTTTTGCAGGCGGGAATTTTGTCTTGATGGATGGAACTTGTTTTTTAAGGGGACTGGATGAAATCACCCAGGGAGATAGCTTCTGTAGGGGGCTGCGCACTGATTCTAGGACCTTCCAGCACAGAGGGGTCAGGAAAAAGAGATGAAGTAAAGAAATACGCAAGAAACAAACGAGGAGAAGGTGGGATCTCATGATAGACTGATGGGAAGAACACTGTAGTGAGTGTCGCCCTCCCTGCTCAAGGGGGGAGACTTTCTACATGAGGAGACCTGGGGTTTAGGTCCCCTGCAGCATCTCCAGAGGAGAACGCCTTGCAGAGAAGACAGCAGCCACATGAGGTCCCGGAGGAAGTCCTGCAACAAAGAAGCCGGCCTATTTCACTTGGCCTAACCCAGCACCCTCCTCTTTTTTTGGTCTTGGCGTGGGAAAGGGCTGCTTTTTCATCATTCAGAACAGTGTGTAGTTATTGCCTGTTGGGAAAACGCTACCTTAGAGTTGACAGAGCTATGACTCCCACGGCTATCGTGGTTTTTTGGTTCGTTTTTGTTTTTCTTGTGTTTTTTGTTTTTGTTTTTAGCCCTCACTGATGTCCTGCGAGAGCAGCAAAGCCGGTGGATGGTGTTAATTGTGTTACAGATGGGGGGAATTTCATGCAGATCCTGACAGGCTTAGGATCATATTATCTGAGCTCATAACAGAGAGCAGGACTCAAACCCATGCCTTCTGGGCCCCCATCTGGTGTTCTTTCCCTAAGACCAGAGTCGGGGCTCTGGACCGTGGGTCAGGTCTAGAGAAAAGATAAATCAGCAGAAGCAGTGAAAGGAAAGCACTGCTTGGAAGAAACTACTGTGAATTTCAGCAAATTCGTAAATATTTGTCCGTCCATGGTTTAAATTCCACCCTGAGTCATGTTCTCCTTTGACCTTTGGCTGCATGGGGTCTAAACACGGCAGGCGTGTCCAGGTACTTGTTTGTTGAAGGGGTGACAAACAGCGGATTCTTACAAAACCCCATCCTAGGCCTACTGAAGCTTCAGTTCCAGTTCTGAACGCCTTTACGGCAGGTGCAGTCTTGGGCCGGCCTACCTTATTTAGTGCCCTGGAAGATGAGACTATTTATCGGAGAGCCAAAGTCTACTGCACACCTGATCTGCCTTGTTGTGCTGGAACAGCATGCTCGGTATTCCTTCAGGTGGCTGAGCCATTATTGTGTCTTAGATTGATAGATGTCCCCATTTATTGATGCCGCCTCTGTTCCGGCAAACTTGGCAACTCTGGTTAATGACCCTAATTGACTGTTGCCTGTCTCAAGTTGACAGAGAGTCCCTGAGGGAGACCAGGTATGGATCTGCAGGCTGGCTGAAAGACCACAGAAACCCCCTGAAGCTTTGGCGTTGACAACAGCCAGGCAGGAGTAAAAGGCAGGGAAGGAACAGTGTGAGTGGTGTTGGGCACTTTCCACACACTAGAAGCTGAGAGCAAGGATAGTCGTGTGTCTGGCTCTCACCAGGTGATGGGCTGATATTTAATTCTCTGAAATGAAGAGCAAGTCTCTACTCAAAGCAGCGTCTTGCTCCTGGAAGAAGCCTCCCTCCAGGCCAGCTATTCTGAGACCTGGGTGTGCAGCCGACCGGCTGGACCCGGGGCACCCTCCTCCTGTCTGCCCGCAGCACCAAGGCCAGGTCACCTGGGGATAGGAGAGGGGGCTGAGATTGGAGGAAGCCCTTGATTTTATACTAACGTCTGATGTCAGTTTATGTAACTGTTGGACATAACTTGAGGATGAGTGAACATGTTAGGTCTATTAGGCTCTTGCTCATGGTTTGGAGGAAAATTGTTGGGATCTCTACCCAGGGCAGTCACCTGGGGGGCTTACCTCCCGGGGGGTGTCATCCCAGTTGTCCAGTGACAGTGGTATGCTGGCATTTAACGGGGGAGTGTCAGGGAGCCCACTGTCCTGCTGTGAGCCTCTTGCTGCTTCCTTGCCCAACCCCATGTGCCAGCTGAGCTCCTGTGGCAGAACACTGCCCGGGTTGGAAAGGGTCTTATTTTCTGGCCCCCATGAACACTCACAGAATAATTCCTGATGACCGATTTCTCAGGCTTCTCCCCATATTTTTGGACTCATCGGACCTCAGTTTCACAGCCCTGCTGGTGACTGTGGCCAGTGGTACCAAACCCTTTTGAGGTGAGGTGAATACTTCTGGTTTCTGTGCGTTCCTCCATTTAGATTTCCGACTTAGCCTTTTTGCCTCCAACTGTCGAGCTTGCTGACTGGCACTGGCTTCACCCCCTCCTTCAGTACTATTGCAGCCTCCTGGTGCCCTCTGTTGCTGAGGTCAGGAGGTCAGCAGAACTGGGAAGACACTTTGCGATGAGCAGCTTTATGGTTAAAAATTCATCCCGGGCTTTCATCTGGGCAGTTACGTTACATATCTGGTTGCTCCAGGTTGGATTTTTGGGCATGTGGGGATAGCCTTGGAACCTAGTTTTATAAAGCTTAGTGGCAGATACTCTGAAGTATTAATAACGGGTGCCTTTGGGGTGGTGGTGGGAGTATGGGTGATTTTTTTCCTCTCTCCTCCCCCCCCACCCCCCTTTTCTTCCTCCC